CTCGAAAGGCCGCTGGGATAATTCCAGGTCACAGCGGGCTGGCTGAGCTAGGGACCTCAGGTTTGCTGGGACGTTACTGTAGTTTTCCTGTTGTTGCTACCACAACTCCCTCTCTCATTAGTAGCACTAATTGCTCATTGCATATTTTGCATATGTATATTAGTATTTCGGAACAGCTCGGTTTTGCATCCTGTAACTAAATGACCACTAACGAACGCGTTAGAAAAGGAGCAGCCAAATGAAATAACGTGTGCGGGAGTGCTGGGCGTGTATACAATAATGGCCTGGGAATTCACTATAAGGTAGCACTGAGCTGCCTCCCGTGCTGCGCAGGCTCCTTGGCCGGGAGAAAGCACGTGTGCGCACCCTTGCAACCCCTCCGGTCCCTCCTCTGCTTTAATGGATCCCCCCCCAGGTCCTGGCTCACCGCCCGCCTCCCTCTTACCTCTTTCGTTTCCAGCATCCACGTGAGCTTCTCGGTTGAGCCACCCGCCACCAGCCCTCCACCCCCCCCATTTTGCAGGGGTTACGTTTGCTGGACACCCCGTGGGGTGAGAATAACCTTCCCAGGGCTCCGGGCTGCCCTGGCTCCTCTGCCTCTCGCCCTGAAGGTCACCCAGGCATGCTAAAGCAAATGGTGACCTGTTGGAGCCAACATCCAGGCTTTTTCCATCTCTCCCAAGCAGTCGGTCCTTTGGGGCATCACTGGTCGCCAGCCCGAGGCTCACCCCAAGGCAGACATCCCGCGCAGTGGCCTTGCTCCCCATCCTTCGCCCCGTCTCCACCGGGAAGGGCCAATGTCACGTACAAACCCCAATTCTGGGTCCGAACCCCTTTGCAGCCTGCAAATGGGCCATCCTCCTCCCATGGGTATTGACCGAGGGAAGTGTCCCCAAAGCACCTGCACGCTCTTCAGGACAAGGCGTTACTTGCCCTCGTGATTCAGTGTCCCGCACGTACATGTCTTGGGCAAAATATACTGATTTGGGGTCTCTCTGCAGATGTAGGGCTCTGGCTTGAGACGGGGGTGTTCAGCTAACGTGACCTGAAGCTGCTCATCAACGCTTTAATGTTGAAACTCTTCTGACTCCGAGCAGCAAAGCGGTGATGAAATCTGAGCCCGGCCCCTGCCGCGGCACCCCAGGGAGAGGACAGCCCGAAGGCTGGGGATGGTGCGAGCCAGGGTGCCCTCCGGGCTGCAGAAAGCTAGAAGGTCCCAAAAAGGAGGGATTTGCATGGAAAGGGTGTTTTGTTTGCTCTGGGGTTCATAAGCAGCTGCTTGAGCCGATCGGGCAAGCTGCTGCCAGCGGGTTGGGTGCAGCGGGGAGGGCAGCGGCCCCAGCTCCGTGGTGGACCACCGGGCTGGCAGATTTTGGGGGCCGCCCGGGAAGGGAGTAAGAGGGTTGGTAAACATGCCATGTCCACAGGGACCTTGTGATTGCAGCACGGGGCATTTCAGGGGCAAGGTTTGGTGGGGTTTTGGCCCCAGCGGGTGCTGGGTGTGCTCCCCCCCACCCATCGGGTGCATGGGGACAGGCTGGATGGGGACGGTGGCACAGGGAGAGCTCCACCATGCTGCAGGTGGAGCACCCGGGCTCCCCTGCGGTTCCCGGCAGACCTTTCCGAAGGTTTTAGGTTCTTTTCCGACGAAAGGGGCAATGAATCCCCACGTTCCCCGTGTGTGGTCAAAGGCAGGTGCCCTGCCATGGGGTGGTTATGGCTGGAGAGGTGCAGAGTTTGGCTTATTACCGCAAGAAGCTCTGGCCTCGAGCTCACAGCGAGAAAAATCGATCTGCTCAGGCATCCCCTCCTCGTCTCTCCCTGCAACGTCCAATGTGATGCCTATAAACAACCAGAAATCGAATCGACCTCATCGGAAATGAGCCACTGGGATATGGGATATTTTCATCTCTGAAATACAGAGATGCTGCCGAAGGGTTGAGGTTGTGGAGGGTCCAACCAAAGCAGCAGGGTCCGTAAACCCCTTGGCTTGCGTTTGAATATTGGCAATGCCACCGCCGGGCTTTGGGAGACCTTTGGGAAACCTGCTCGAGGTTCCCCTTGGCGGGAACACCCTGGGCGCAGGCAGGATCTGGCCGCCGCAGGGCTCTCGGCAGCGCTTGGCGGCTCTTCCCCAGCGATGTCTCTAAGATAAATGTTTGTCTTTTCCGTCCAAGAGATACGGCAGAGCCGCTGCCAGCACCACATCTCAGTGGAATCAGCTTTCCTTCTGCCAGGAGCGTTACCGGCTCATGATTCACATCTTTACAGCAGCTTTGGAAGGAAAATGTGCTTCTTGCTAGGCGGACCTTCACGCACGTCGAGATGCCACAGTTTTTCCAGACTTTCCAAAGGAAGCCACGACCGAGTGAGACATTCCTTCTCCTCTTCCAGCTTTCTTGGAACAACCTCTTTTGATTAGCGAGCGAGACAGATAGTTGGAAAGGCAGAGAGACAGACAGACAGGCCGGGCAGTAGGTTTATAATAAGCAGTTTGCATGAGCCCCAGCCTCTGGTGGGATGGTGCTTCTGTCCGTGTCTTGCTGGGTGGCTGGCGAGAGTCCCTGGTGTTTGCCATGGTCCCCAACCCCCTGTCCTCCTCCATGGTCCCCAACCCCCTGTCCTCCTCCATGGTCCCCAACCCCCTGTCCTCCTCCATGGTCCCCAACCCCCTGTCCTCCTCCATGGTCCCCAACCCCCTGTCCTCCTCCATGGTCCCCAACCCCCTGTCCTCCTCCATGGTCCCCAACCCCCTGTCCTCCTCCATGGTCCCCAACCCCCTGGTCTCCTC